AACAAGTTTTGAATGGGCAAAGGCAACTTTTCTCTAATTTAACCGACCTTGTAGCTCTTACCGTTTCGGATATAGTAATAGTGGTATCACTTAAAATATACACCCTGTATTCCTGTATATATCTATTAGTACCCGTGGTGCATACAAACTTTTATGTCATACCAGTTGGTTGTGAATAATAAATACCTGGGAAAAAAGTGTCACTTCGTAAATTGTCATCAGTGTGCAACATCATCATTTTTTGACATAATTAATATATTTTTAAACGTACATTTATATTTTGTTAATAAAGAATAAGTTAATTGAAAACTGTTTTTTGCGTCTTTATGCCCGCGCGGGCCATAATGTTTACTTTATGCCCGCACGGGCATAAAGTAATAAATTATGTAGATGGTAGGTATCTAAGGTATAAAAACACAATAATGTATTGGTATGACATAATAGTTATTTATGTATCAAGGGTACTAAGTAGATGATTATGCCCTGAGGGCGACAGTCTTACAAAGCCGAGGGCCTCTGGCCCGAGGGTTCGTAAGTCGCCCAAGGGTATATCTATTAGTACCCGTGGTGCATACAAACTTTTATGTCATACCAGTTGGTTGTAAATAATAAATACCTAGGAAAAAAGTGTCACTTTGCAAATTGTCATCAGTATCAGTGTGCAAACATCATTATTTTTTGACAAAAATAATATGCTGAATAATATGTTTATAAGCGTAAACTTATATTTTTTTAATAAATAATAAGTTAATTGAAAACTGTTTTTTGCGTCTTTATGCCCGCGCGGGCCATAATGTGTACTTTATGCCCGCGCGGGCCATAATGTGTACTTTATGCCCGCACGGGCATAAAGTAATGAATTATGTAGATGGTATCTAAGGTATAAAAACACAATAATGTATTGGTATGACATAATAGTTATTTATGTATCAAGGGTACTAAGTAGATGATTATGCCCTGAGGGCGACAGTCTTACAAAGCCGAGGGCCTCTGGCCCGAGGGTTCGTAAGTCGCCCGAGGGTATATTATCTATTAGTACCCGTGGTGCATACAAACTTTTATGTCATACCAGTTGGTTGTGAATAATAAATACCTAGGAAAAAGTGTCACTTCGCAAATTGTCATCAGTGTGCAAACATCATAATTTTTTGAGAAAAATAATATGTTTATAAGCGTAAATTTATATTTTGTTAATAAAGAATAAGTTAATTGAAAACTGTTTTTTGCGTCTTTATGCCCGCGCGGGCCATAATGTGTACTTTATGCCCGCGCGGGCCATAATGTGTACTTTATGCCCGCACGGGCATAAAGTAATGAATTATGTAGATGGTATCCAAGGTATAAAAACACAATAATGTATTGGTATGACATAATAGTATATTATATACCTAGGTAGAGAAGTTGGTCATTATATACCGAAAGCTTTTATAAACCGAGGCGCGCAGCGCCGAGGTTTATAATGCGTGAGGTATATAATGACTTTCTCTACCGAGGAATATATAGAATTTTTTTTACTACTGCTAGTAGAAAATAAAAAATTTGTTTAAAATCTGTGCTCTAATTATTTTTTGTGAACGCCCTCTTGAAAGTGCTGCCCTCTATCAACAGCTTATATAACTTCCTATGTACCTACAGAAACCTGTATTTTTTTTTCAATTTGACGTATGAAACTGAAATTGAACCAATAGAAACACGACAATATCCTTTCGTCATGACGTCATTTTCATTATTGACCTAGGTATTTTTTCATTATTTTCATTATTAACCTAGGGAGAGAAATTCAATTTTTTCTTAGAAAAATAGATTGAATAATGTCTATTTCCCAGGTTAGTAGTAAAAAAAAAATATTAAGCAACCTTCTTGCTCATTCCAATTTTTTTAGTTACAGCATCGTAAACTTCCTCAGCATTAGCGCTACGCTTTAACGTCACTGTGACATGACAACTTTCCTGTCTGGAAACTGGACCTTTAAATCTACATCTATGATCTACATCAGGAATACTATGCTATTGGTTTCATCGTCAGGATCTGTAAGGAATTCCTGCGCTATATCAGATTCTGCTATCACTCTTACTGCACACTCCCGCTCCAAATATTGTTCCAAGCCTTCTCCTTCTGGCGTCCAATTGTTGTTCGCTCAACGTAAAACGCCATTTGCCTGTAAGTTTTGGAAAATTGTAACCGATTAACTCTTTTTCCAAATCCGCATGTAACTTGGCAATATCGTCTCGAGCACAAGTGCCGGCCGGCCATGTAAATATTAAATGCAACATACCGATCATCGTTTCTTTCATTGTAGTGAAAATCTGGAATACTGATGGGTAAAGATCGTTTTTCGTTATAGTCGTAGTACACTTGGGTGTCTTCCGATGGTTCCAAACTTTCTGCTTCTTGTTGAGTAACAGGAATCACGGTGAGCCTCAAAACGTCTCCGCCTGATTTAATTAGATCCACCACTTGCTAATTGTGAGTGAAACATTCTACGTTTACCCCATTTACTTCCAATATACGATCTCCTTTCCTCATTCCAGCAAGTTCAGCAGCGCCGTGGTCCAGAACAGCGCTGACATGCTGCAAGGGGGCATACAACTCACCATTGATGCTTCGCAATTGTCCGCCCTCGCTGACCTGACCTCTCACGTTAAACCCAAACCCAGTTTCGGTCTTTTTTATCGTCACGACCCGAGGCCCAGTCACCACCTGGACTTTTGTATTGTTGTTTTGGACGCGCGGCACCCGGTCCACAGTCTTACCACATTGGGGAAAGACATGCACGAATGGATGGCAATATCTGCGTTTATTCATGGTCGATGGTCTTAGATATTCCAAGATCTAGGAAAACCTGAAAATGTCCAAATTCAGAAAAAGTGACGATGCCCTTGTCCGAGCATTGGAACTGGAAGCAATCACGTACTAAATCATTTGAATACTTTGTCAAGTGTTAAGGTCGGCATACACACACGTTATTTCGCGCGGTTTATCGTGGTGTGTTGGGATGTAGCGGTTTGCACGTGCGAAAGAACGGCGTGGCAAAAAAAGCGTCATGTTCCATACACTTAACAAAGTATTCAAATGATTTAGCACGTGATTACGCGCGGCATATCAGTTGGAAAGGAAAAACCGTATGTGTATGGGTAAAAAGTGTCATTTATCGTGTCGTTTGGAAGTGCATGTTGTCATGTACTAATTTTCTACGTGATAGTTCGCTACGCGGCGTTATGTCTTCGTACTAGCCTCAAAACTGTGACGTGGAATGGCGTGTGGACACGGGTGTGAACTACACTATCATGTACTTGAGTACTGACGTCACATTTCAGATGAAAGCAGCTACCAAATGCGTGCAGCTCTCCTCACTCACGCACATGTTTTTTTAAAGGTTTTTGCAGATGACACGATAAACTGCGCGAAAGAACGTGTATCTATGCCGGCCTTATGGAACATGAAGTTTTTTTTTTGCCACGCCGTTTTTTCGCGCATGCAAACCGCCACATCCCAACATTCCACGATAAACCGCGCGAAAAAACATGTGTGTATGCCGGCCTAATTCAACACAAAATTGATACTGGATTGGCACACTCAATTAGATAACCACTTCGACGTATGCCAATAGCTAAACAACAGGAAGTGGAAAATCAAATTGATAAAATGCTTCAAGAGCAAATTATTGAAGAGTCAAATAGTCCATGATCTGCGCCAGTAGTATTGGTTACGAAGAAAGATGGAAGTCTTAGGTTTTGTGTGGACTACCGTGAGCTCAATAACGTCACCAAGATGGACAGCTTCCCTCTTCCGAGGATAGACGATACATTAACAACTCTATCGGGCACCTTGGATCTTAAGAGTGGATACTGGCAAGTGGCAATACACAATGATGACAAAGAAAGTTGCCTTTAGTACCGGAACCGGGTTATATCAGTTTAACGCAATGCCTTTCGGATTGTGTAATGCTCCAGCTACGTTTGAGCGAATGATGCATCTAGTTTTGCAAGGCCTTACTTGCCATCTAGTATATTTGGATGATGTCATGATCATGAGAAATTCTTTCCAAGAACATCTCAGTAATCTGAAAGAAGTCTTTGACCGCTTCCGGAATGCCAACATGAAACTCAATCCAAATAAATGTTTTCTATTCCAAAAGAGAATGGAATTCTTAGGCCACGTGGTAACTGAAGATGGCATACAAGTTATGGAAGGGAAAATAGATGCTGTCCAGAAGAAAGTTGCTTGCCATAGAAAAAGTAGTCGACCATTTTCATAAGTATCATCTCTACGGACGTAAGTTTCTGCAGATCTAAAATGGCTTAAAAACTCCCGAAGAACAGCTTGCTAGACGGATTGGGAAATCGCAGCAATACGATTTCCAAATTAAACATCGACCTGGAAACCTGCATAAAAATGCTGACGCTCTGTCTAGACGGCCATGTAAAGAAGATTGCAAGCATTGTGAAAGAATCGATATGCATGAGAAAAATACTGGTCCAGCTGTGAGAAGAACGGGTCTTGATGAAATTGATGAAGGTAGGTCAGAATGGAGGGAGTGTCGAACAAGAGCTTGATTTACAAGGCGTTGTGGGCTCAGTGGAACTCTCTGGACGTAGAAAATGGTTGCCTGAAAAGAATTTGGAAAACTGCCGATGGAAAATTTACTAAGAGCCAATGCATTAAAAGAAATAGGTACATGACGGAACTTCAGGGGCAAATTTTGGAGTTAACAAGACTTTGGACAAAATTCGAGAACGTTTTCACTGGGCCCACTATCATGAAGACGTTAAAAACTGATGCCGAACATGCGACATCTGTGCTACCAGTAAAGGCCCTGAACTATGATCTCGGGGGCCCATGAATCAGTACAATCTCGGTCTCCCATTTGAAAGAATAGCGATAGATGTTGCCGGACCGTTCCATGAGTCAGAGCGTGGTAACAAATACATCTTGGTTATCATGGATTACTTCAGTAAATGGCTAGAAGTTTTCGCTATTCCCAATCAAGACGCGCCACAATATCATTCCAACTTATATTACATTATCTTTGGTTGGAATAAATCACACTTTTGTTAAAGATATTAAAAAATAAGACTCAACATCTAGTTAACAAAAAACCATTTATTTAAAGGCTTTTCATATGCAATATATTTTTTGACAAATAAAAAGTTACATTGAGTAGTAACAAACCATTATTTAAATTAGCCTAACAAAATGAATGATCACTTTATACATTTCTATAGGCTTAATTTGTATTTATACTCTGTTAGTGACATAATTATTACTAGGTACCAAATAATGTTACCGATAATAATTATATACTCTTGACCGCCTGGAGATTTTTATTTGTATTTATATTTATATTAGCTATGGTCCATTTTATATCATAATTATTTAAAAATGTTTTATAATTTTTACAGCAATAATTATTTTTAATATATACAAAAGTTAATCGATTAATTAATATTACAATAACAAAAGTTTTAGAGGAAAAAATCGAAACATGATTTTCAATCCATTCTTGATGTTTTATAGAGAAAATATCGTATTAAAAATCACGTTTTTTTTTTAACCTAGAAAATACGATAGCTACTTTTTCCATTTTTTTTACAGATAATAATGCTAAAATGATGTCGATTTGCACCTACATATTCTAGAACAAATATTACTATGAGTATATCGATGCAAACAGCCTGATAATAATGAATATAATGGTACTGATATAAATATATATATTATTGGTCAATGTGTTAATAAGATATTTTGCAACTAAAATCTTATTTTACATAATTCTTTTCGTGTGATAAAAAGCTATTGTGAGTATATTCGCCAACCAAAAAAAAAAAAAATAGAAAAGAGTTGATATGCGATACTTTATATTTAGCTGACGAGTTTACAATGCATGAACTGTTCCAAAAATCATCTTTCCAACGACATTTTGGGAATATGCTCAAAAATAAGGTTTGATGATTTACACGTTCGTACCTATATGAAATTATCTTGTTTGAATATGGTGTATTACTAGAAGCAAAGAGCCTCTTAAAACGGATAAAAAAAATAATTTAGGATACAATAAACAAAAGTTTAAGAAGAAATACACTGTAAAATATATGTGCAAAGGTGTTATTCGAGCATGTTTTTTATGAGTAGGTATTTTCCGAATTGATATAGGTAGGTACCCTCTTTGCACCCTTGTACCTATACCAGTTTTCGTGTTAAAATTCAAAATGGTCCCAGTTTAACAATATTCCTTTAAAAATCGTGTAAACTCCATCAAACCCTGTAAGATATATGAATGGCAAACTTTTATTATATGGTAACACAATAGCAAAAAAATTTTTACCATAAGGTGTATTAAAAGCTAATTTGAAGCACTCGGTGAGCTGATATGATATATACTGATACAATCAATGAATGAAGATGCTTTTATTTTTTGTACGACATTTAAATGACTTTTCCACACTTAAAAATATATATGAATGATGGAAATTTCTAGAAATTAACTAGTCAGTTCGTATAGTACATCAATTATTTTATCGTAACGATTTGTTTTTACATCTAGACACAAATGCGCGAATAAGAGTGTTCTGATTTCTTATCTAAGTAATTTTTTTTTTCAAGTTCACAAAGTCACACATTTTAGTCTTTTTTTAAATATTTTTTTTCTGTAACTTTTGGCATCCAATATAATTAAAAATAATAAATTTTCAAATAAATGTGACCCTGTTCACTTGAAAAAAAAAGGAGTTTATAATGTCAATAGTTTAAAAATATTGTCAATTTTAAAAGTAGATTTGAGATGATACATAGTTAAGTTTAAGTTTACGATAAAGTGCTTTCAAGAGAAAAATGTGAATTCGTGGATGATGAGACATACAATAATTTATCACAGAGAAAAAACATATTTCGTAAGCAACAAAATGGTTCATTTTGTAGCAGAAAAACGATTTTATTCACGATTCCTCATAAGTAGGTAATTAAAAATTCCATTATGTTATTAATCAATGATTAGAAATTATGAAAAGCGATTCAATCTTACAACCTATATTTGATAAATCACATTTTTTTTTAAAGCAGAAAATTGCAAATTCAAATTTTGCACATGAAGGACTAAAATTTATAAACTTAATATTTCAACAGGTGGAGAAAAAGGACTCCTAGCAATTTTACATCATTCAATACTTAAATATGCAACAGATTTTTAAAATTTGTACCTTCAAAGAAGAAAATAAATTAAGTATTTCGTTAAACTTGGATTAACAGGAACCAAAAGTGCCATAAATCTGACACTTAGATGGTTGGTTCCCATCCCCATTGTTGTTATATTAACAATTTCAATTCAACTATGCAAACTGTATAAAAAGTCTTTTACAAAAATATGGTGTACAAATAAAAACAAATTAATGAAATCCATTTGTAATGTGTTTTCATGCAGTGGAAAATTATAATAATATTAGAAACGTCTATTAAAGTGAGAGGCACAGTGACGTTTTAACAATAATTAATAGTTCATTTAAGTTACTATATATTTCGCATTCAAAATGGGACGGTCCTTTTCAGGCATTAACAATTATTAAATTTAAACACTTATATGGATTTTGAACACGCGTGTATCTTTTGTTGTTTGGACAAGGGAGGAATTTTTAGGATTTTAATTGTTTTTGTTCAATACAAAAAACAATTCTAAAAATCCTCCCCGTGCAACGAGGGAATTAGAGAGAAAGTCAAAAAGCTGAAAAAGTAGTGGAAAAAGTCAATTTTTTTTTCATAGATACCTAAGTCTGTAGCACAATATAAACATCACACACAAAAATTGAAATTATTTATTGTTGTTGGTTTATGCTGTCTTCTTGTCGAATGTCTGACTTTAATTTGACGAATTCTTTGGCGACTTCGTCGTTTGTGCGTTGAGACAGTATTCTGAGGATCGTCCAGCCCGTTTCGTCCATTTGGATGCGTTTGCCTAGCGAGAGCCAACATGCACACGAACCCTGAGAGAAAAAGAAAAGTTTTATAACATTCATTGAATTTTATCCCGATTAAAGCCCAGCTGCAAAGATATTTTTCAGAAATCCCAACCTTATGGAACCAATAAGTAATTATATACTATATAGTACTGAGGTCCCATACGGGAAGCTACTCAGCTATAGTTATTTTTGAGCCAATATCTCTAGATTGATTATTTCAATTTGCTAGGATATTCTCTCGTCAGGGTAGGAAAATGTTAGTAAATCCAAACAGACCCCAATGCACGCTCTAAATCCAAAAATCAAAATCCCAGCACAAAAAGACAGCACATAATTTTTCTAGGTTTTAATTTAGTCTTGTTGTTGTTTACAGCATGAAACGATTTTTGTTAAATACATAAACAATACACTATATGGTTCAGATGGTTATTTATTTGATAAGTTTTGGAGTTATCGATAAAAATTCCCCATAATCTTTGGACCTAACTTTAACCGTTTTTATACCGAATTTCAAGGTGTTCCAGATGCTTGAATACTGATGATAAATTTGGTCGAGAGCTGGTTCAGTTCCAATTTTCTCATAGTCATATCTTTAGTTGATTGTAAATTCTTATCTATATTTCATCTAAATTTTTATCTTGCAACAAATCCATATTTATTATATCTCCATATTAGGTACCTATTGCCACATGCAAACTGGTAGATTTTTTTGTCAACGGTCAAAATGTTAGAGTTTTCTGAGAAATAGAGTAGTCATATCAAACGAAACTTGTGTTAACTGTAATTTGTTATATTGGCGCCCAACGTGGGGCCAGAAAAGTGTCATAAACTGGTGAAGTGACTCTGGAAAGTTCCCACAAACTTTGCAACTTTTGTTTTGTTTTTGTATGTAAGTATCTTGCTCGTTTATTTCATGCATGAATAGTGCTGTTTTTCCTATTCATTGATATCTGAACTTTGAAACTTTCATAAATAGTGCTGTTTTTCCTATTTATCGAAATCTGAACTTCAAGACTTTCATAAATAGTGCTGTTTTTCCTATTTATTGAAATCTGAAATTTAATACTTTTATGAATAGTGCGGTTATTCCTATTTATTGAACTTTGATCATTAGAAACTTTCACAAGAATTTTCATAAATAGTGCGGTTATTCCTTATAATCTGGATTAAAGTATTGTTGTGGATTTTGATTCTGCCAGCCTCTGATTCGTACTTTTAATTACTTCCTTCAACTTAACAGTTATAAAAATTCAATCAGTTTTCGAAAGGCAAAAGTTCCATTGAGATACATTTTCAAAAGTTTCCGTTCAATCAAAATACCTACCTTATCAACAATATCTTTCAGCTGCATAACAGCTACACCAACAAGTCTATCTTCTCTGGCAAAACAATAATCTTTAATACAGATATGTAGTTCGTAAAAGTCTAGTTGCTCCTCGTTTCCAATAATACTGAAAAAAGCAAATATTTTCTTAAATTCCACAAATAAACATCGTCTGTGGATTACTTACAAATTGAAAGTTTCATTATATTTTGGCGACCAGTTATTCGATTTCGACTTCGTGGCGTGTTTTCTTTTCTTATCGGAGAGATGCGGTCCGATTAGGTTCACTTCCACGAAGGGCCTGAACATTCCTGATACTAAGTTCCACTTGAGATCGTTTGCAGCAACAACTATAGTTGAGGAAAAACAATCACGATTATAAGAGGATAATATTAATAATAATAATAATAATAGTACCTAATATGTAATAAGAACAATAAATATTACAAAAGGCATGTATACAATTTTTGTTTAAATAAAAATGGTTTGCCTTGGCACAAACAACAATAGGGATAGAGACCAACAAACAAAATACAAATCAAAGTAACAATAAAGATAAAAATGCAAACAATATCAGTGAATAACATCAAGATTAAAAGTCTATTATAAAGCCTTTGGACAGTATCAATTCCCGCATCTTGTTTTTGAAGCTTACACTACCGAAATTTTTCAGGTTGTCTGGTATTTAGTTAAACACTTTTGAGGTCTGGTAGGAAAATCCCTTTTTGAAAAACTCACTATGGTGAATTTGTACACTAAGTATTTGTTGTGATTGTCTAAGCTGTAAGGGGTGTGCTTCTGAACGCAATTGTAATTTGTCATATTAATATTTGGGCTATTTAGTTTTAATTAGTTTATGTATAAGGTAACACAAGTTGTTTGCCGCATGTTTAGCCAACCAATGTACTGCAGATATGCAGTTATGTAAGTACTTTTTTTGGAACAGAGGAATTCTGAATTTTTCATAATATTTGCGTGTCTTCAGCTCTTGGACAAGGTCCATATATAATATCACCATAGTTCAATTTGCTTAGCACTAAGGACATAGTTTCAGTTTTGCCTCCCTTGGCAGAAAGTCTTCAATTCTGTACAGGCACATCAGTGTGCCAAGTGCCAACTTATTGATGTGACTGACCTGATGTGCCTAGTTCAACTTCTGGTCCATTCGCAGGCCGAGGTTTTTGACATAGGTGTTATTTGATCTAATGGACTCGGAATTTAATATTATTTGATCTTGCAGGGCCACTGTGAGGTCTTGAGCTTTTTTACAAAAGATCACTGTTTCTATTTTTGTCGTATTGCTCTTCAGACCATTCTCCTGTGTTCATTCAAGTATTGCTTGTAAGTCATAGCTTATCTTCTTTACTGCAATATGGCTATTCTCCGGGTGGAAACTTAATATGATTTGTATATCATCAGCATAGTAGTGGGAGCTGCTCAATTTAATGCTACTTTGAAGGTTTACCAGGAATAAATTGAATAGGAGTGGTCACAAAATTGATCCAATTTCCACTGTTTGTGACCATGAAAGGTAGGTTTTAGAGAAGCCCTTCACTTCGACATGTTGTTGCCTCTGTGATGAGTACTGTTTGAACCATTCCCAGGCCATTCCCCTAATACCATGGTGATATAGTTTGGCTACTAGTAAGTCATGGTCTATGCCAGGAAGGCCTTTGACATGTCCAAGAATACCATTATGGTGGCCATTCCTTGGTCCTGGCCTGTTATATTTTCATCATTTATCTTAATTAGTACAGTTCCAGTGTCATGTAATCTTCGAAAACCTGATTGATTGAACTGAGTGAAGGATGTTGTGGTCTTCGATATACTGCATTATTTGATTGTGCATGCACGACTTTTTCAATAAATTTTGATGTTTCTGGTAGGATGCTTATAGGCCGAAGGTTCGTAAGTCCTGCGGAGTTGGTAGATTTTTTTTTAATGGCAAAGTTTTTGACGTTTTCTATGTGGTGTGAATATTTCCTGTAAGTATACATTAATGTGTTGATAATATGGCATAGTTCCTTCTTGCAATATGGGAAGCATAGTTTAAGCACGGGTAGATTAATGTTATCCAATCCCATAGCGTAGGTTTTAATGGTACGAAAAATCCGTTGGAGGTCACTTGTGTCAACTAATTGAAATGCAAATTCTTGTCTTCTGTGATATGATCTATACAACACTGTTTTCATCTGTGGTTGGGCTATCTTTATCTTTTCTTGATGTCACGAAATCCCATTATTTCATAGTTTGCCAGAACGATTTGGTATCCTTTAGTCTTCTTATGGCTGAGAATTCGTAGTATGGTTTTTTTTACCGCTTTGTTTACGTAGTTTCTAATATCACAGAAGCAACTTCTGTCGTGAGCAGTCTTGGTTCGCATGTATGTTTTTTCTATGGCACTTGCTTTTTTCTTCTCTCTTTTCGAAATCAATAGAGAAGGGACGTCATGACGTCAATAGAGATAGAGAAAATATCTCCATTCGTTACATAGTCCCAGGGCAGGCCTCTCTTTAAATTAACAGCACGTAATGGTGCATGGAGATCCAGTAATGCAAGAACACATCCGTTCAAGTAGGTTAGTTTATCATCAATGTTTTCTAGGTAGTAGACATGTTGCCAGTTTATTAGTTGTGCATCTTGTGAGAATGGTTGCATGTCAATATATTTATAGTTTCTCATGTATTTAGTTTGGTTTTCACAATTATTGTTTTCGACCAGGATTTTTTTTTTTTTTTTTTTTTTTTTTTTTTACGGATATGCGCACTCGCAAGGAAATGTCCTATCACGCTCGAGAAGCGGCAAGTGCGCGGAAATGTCGGTGTATGTTGGTCTTGAAACGGTTCAGGTTGTAACCTGCAGGGAAAACCGTCGTAGGGAGTTTATTCCACAGCGATGCTGTTCTCCAGAGATATGAATTCTGATATAATGAGGTTCTTGGTGCCTCTAGTTTGACAGTAAATTCATGGTTACCGTCTGTTTGACGGGTTCGCCTGGTAGGTGCTACTCTCGGTGGAATCATACGTGCCAACTCTTCAGAGCATTTTCCGTGATAGTACCTGTAGAAGAGAGATAAATCGCCCACCGTTCTGCGATGTTCGAGACCATCCAAGTTACGAGTAAGTGCGGGGTCATTGATCAGCTTGATAGCTCGTTTTTGCACGGTATTCAAAAGCATTAAGGTATGTTTGGGTGCTGCACTCCATATATGTGAGCAGTACTCCATAGTTGGTCGAATCTGGGCTTTGTAGAGTGTCAGCAATTGGCTTGGTGTGTACAGATGTCTTGTACGAAATAGCACCCCCAGCTTTTGGGAGGCCCTTTTAGCAATATCTGCCACGTGACTGTGCCAAGACATGTTGGTCTCTGCAGTAACCCCCAAGATGTTCAACTGACTCTGTAATGTGACAGCACTTCCAGATAGCATGATGTTTGGCTCACCGGTGCTGGTCTTTTTTGAAAACAGAGCTGCTTGGGTTTTCTGCGCGTTGAACTGTACAAGGTTTTTGTTACCCCAGTCCTCTATTATCTCCAGGTCGTTATTTATCTGCGATATTTGAGTTAGTCTAAGATGATGGAATTCACGTGCGGAAAGACCTGTCGGTGGTATGAGTGAGGAGACTACATTGCCATCGTCTGCAAAGCAATAAAGTGGATTTACTGTTTTATCTATGAGGTCATTTATGTAAATCAGAAAAAGAGTTGGCGAAAGGATTGCTCCCTGTGGCACACCAGCATTTATTTGGTAAGAGTTGGAGTTCTGGCCATCCAGTGCAACATAAATGGATCTGTCCTTTAGGTAACTTTCAAACCAAGTGCAAAGTTTCGGCGATAATCCCATTGCTTTGAGCTTGTTGAGCAGATTTTCATGCCAAACTTTGTCGAATGCTTTAGATATATCTAAGGCAATTGTTCTTGTTTCACCCCGCAACTCAATCGCTTTTTGCCATAAGTGAGTGACGTATGTAAGTAAATCGCCAGTTGACCTATATTTTCGAAATCCGTATTGCTTATCGTTGATAATTTTGTACTTTTCCAAGTACTTGGTTAGGTGATTGTTCACAACTCTTTCCATTACTTTTGATATCACCGGAAGTAGAGCAATTGGTCTATAGTTTAACGGATCTGTCTTTTTTCCTTTCTTTGGAATGGGTTGTACTGCGGCAGACTTCCATGATGATGGATATACTCCTTGCCTGTAAGACAAATTGAATAATTTTGCGAAAGTTGGGGTGAGTTCGTTGGCGCAATTTTTGACTACTATTGCGGGAATGCCATCCGGACCCATTGCTTTGTTTGTATCCAGCTTTTTTAGGGATTTTCGTATTTTTCTGTGACAAAAGGGTACCTCTGGCATACTATGGGAAACCCTTTCAATGAACGGTGGAGTTTTTCCGTTTGGCAGCGTTAGGTTGGAGTTGGAGGAAAACATTTGGGCAAGCATATTGGCTTTTTCCTCTGATGTTGTGGCTAAGTGATTATTTTCATCTGTAAGTGGTGGTATGGATGACTTGGTGAAGTTAGATCCAACAGCTTTTGCGAGAGACCAAAAAGACCTAGAACTACTTGGACAATTCAGCAACCTGTTTTTTATTCTTTGATTGTATGTTTCTTTAGCGGAGTCAATAGTAATTTTGCAACTATTTCTGGCTTCTATAAATTCTGTGTGGTTTTGAGCGGTTTGTTGTCGTTTCCAAAGGTTATATGCTCTGTGTTTTTTCTGTACAGCCGTTTGACACTGGCGGTTGAACCAAGGTTTTGCATTAGCTCTACGTTTAGTTGTATGTGGGATATATGCGTCCATTCCAGATAAGGATATTCACAAATATAACGTCATGGTCAGATATGTCAACATCAATGGTTCTACTGTCTTCGATTGCCATTTCAGACATAACGCAAATGATACCAGCAAGCTGCCTGCATTATGTGTTATACGTGTGGGATTTTCTATTATTTAGCTTAAATTGTAAGCATCCATTAATAAATTTAGCTCTTCTGTGTTTTGATTGGTTTCAAACAGGTTTATGTTCAGATCACCTAGGAGAATGACATAATCGTATTTCATCGTAACAGCCCTCAAACTGTTTTCAAGGTTATTAAGTGGAAAATGTCTGTATGGTCTATGTACGACATCAGTTGCATATGTATATCCTCCCCGTTTAAATTACAGCCAGAGCTGTTCCAGACCGTCTGTGTTATTACTTAAGTCAGGAATGTGTCCACATTTCAGTTCCTTTTTGACGAGAAACAGTACTCCTCTCCCTTTACTTTGCGTTCTATCTTGTCTGATAATATATGTCCTACCCTTAGAAGCTCTGGGGAGCTTTGTTGGTAATGAGTATTTTGGTCTATTTGCTAGCTTCATAGGCTATTCTTTTATCTTGATTACTTACAATTCGTAGATATACAGGACACGGACGATCCAGAGCGAAATGACGGCTATCAAGGTTGGTTTGCTTCTCACAATTGATATACTTTTTCTCTATTACTTGGCAGTCCTTATATGAGTGCTTCTGAACAGAGTGTCTCTTGTTTACAATCTTTGGCATAATGACCATATTTGTAACACTTAATACATTGCAGAACGCTGATGTGATTAAACAGCATTCCTCTAGACCATCCAATTTTGGCTGCTCGTTTGTTCATCAGAATGCTATGTATTTTTGGATCTACTTCTAAAATAATATCGATTCCTTTTCTTCTATTTGCACATATTTTCAGTATCCTAATATCAGATCCGTCAGCTTCCAAATTATTATGTTTGATAATTCTGTTTACAACTATCTTCTCGACGCACCTCTTCATTATCAATATTAGCAATCTTCAACTTTGGTTTCTTTAGTGCAGGTATTTTGACATGATATTAATTACCTAATTCTGCAGTTATCTGTTCTTTTAATGCGTTGATATCCTCGTTGTTATCACATCCAATCACAACAGCCCCATTATTAGCCTGTTTAAACCATGATATATTTAAATTATCCTGGTTCATTTTTTCCCTTATATCCATCTTGGTTTGTTTGCTTGGCTGCTCTACTCGTGGTTTAATCACTATCACTGACTCTAGCAGCTGCGTAGCGTATTGCTATGGCTCTGTTACTATTAATTTCTTCCTCTGGATGTTCTAACCTATCTTCTTTAGCCGGTTGTAGCTCGGACTTCAATTCATCATGCTTGATAATAAGTTATTTCTTACACACGTCTCTTCCAGAAGCGCATTTAGTAGATATACCACTCGCGCGGTTCCATCCAGATTTGATAAAATCTGCTTGTTGATGATGTCCGAATGGCAGTAAATTACTCTGGTCTCGCCAATCAGAATTACTTTTCTTCTTTTGATGCAGCTGTTGTGAAACACTGCTCCACATTTAACATAGATTTTAATTTCATTGCACTTTTTATTTCGACAACATTTGAAAGTCAACTCTTCATCCGCTTTCTCATTGCCCATTCTGGCAACAATGTGTGAACAATGCGGTGATACTTCGCCGATATCACATCTTTTTGTGGCTAAGCCTCAACATTTCAAAACTTTTATTCTTACTGGTTCTATACTATAACCTTCAAAACTTCCTCTAAACACTTTTTACCGTTTTATATTGCGAACATTAAACTTAAAAAAACATTACAGAAGTAGCAAAAAGTAAACAAACTATGGGCGACGTTGCCAATTTTTTTTATTCCATCACTAGATAAGTCTTCTAGAAGGTGCAACAAAAACTTTGGATATGTTAAAACATATTATATACTATAGTGTATCCAAGATTGATTAGGAAGGACTAGTAGGTAAGTACCTACTTATCCATTTGACTATTTGACAATTTTGTTTATATCTTAACTAGCTACTTTATATTATTTCTGGAAGTTGACCAGTGTTGGAACTTGTTAACATTATGCTTTTAAACAAATGGTGTATCGTATATAACAAAATAATGTATGTTGATCAATAAACTATGTAAGGGGTAAGTAAGTTCAAAGCACTTGCAATGTGCGATGTTTCTCAAATATTTTTTTGCATTCCTCTTATCCTAATAATACACAGATACTCCAGGAATAATCAAAAGATGTATATTTGGGATGTTTCGAATTTTCCATAGGAAGATCTTATAATAATCTTGGGATATTCTATTGTGATATTAATATAGAGAGTAGGTTCAAATTAGTCAAAAAAAATTGTAACATCAGTTCGAAAATACAGTATCAAATAGGGATTAAAGTCGAGAAGAAAATTGCATGGACTGATGAACTGATTCTCGAATTATATCCTCGATAAATAATTGCTCATATTTTCAATGATTCAAAATATATATTACTTTAAAGACTGTCGAGGAGCATTAAACATTGCACATATTATTTAAATTTTTGTGAGATATGTACCTAGGAGAAATGTTCAATGTACATTCATACTTTTCTATACTTACAAATAATGACGGGAACATTTGAGAGATATTCATAGAATATATATTCCAGTGATATTCTAGGAATGTACTATCGGAGTACTAAACATTCATACTGTACAGGGTGTTTTTTTATATATTGACACCCCACCTACAGCCTTTACCTTTACAGGTGGAAGAAAGGTGTAGATACAAAAGTTGTACAGTTTTGGCTGAATTTTTAGAAAACATGGTCAAAAACAAAATTTGAATGTCAGAAAAGTGAAATTTTGCATGCTTCCAGCTTTTTTTTAAATAGGATGCCCTATATTTCATTCTATATTCTTGAAGAGCACAATGCTCCGATTCTAAAAATGGTCTATTTTTGATTGAGCAGTCTCTCATATATTCGGGACCAAAAATTGTAATAATACTATCCTACTACTCATTTTGTGAACCATTCTATCTGTAGGTACAGGTGAAAGCTGCAGGTAAAATTTGAGGTACTTAATTTCTCTGATAGTATTTTCAAAATTTTTAGAACCAAATATGTTGAAGACGGCTCAACAAAATATAGACAAACTATATAGTTTTGGAATCGGAAAATTGTGTTCTTCAAGAATATAGAACCAAATATAGGGCATCCCATTTAGAAAATGCTGAAAGCATGCAACATTTCACATTTCTGACACTCAATTTTTGTTTCTGACCATGGATTCTAGAAATTTAGCCAATACTGTACAACTTTTGTATTTACACCTTTCATCTAATTGTAAAGGTGCAGGCTGTAGGTGGGGTGTAAATATATAAAAAAACATCCGAACAATAACTTATTATATAAAGTCAGAATTTGTAAGATTATCCACTTTTTCTCAATTTGCCTTTTAACGGGAAGTAGTAATGTTACTTTACAAGTTATTCAAGTACAAATGAGTGAATTGTTGCGGAACTTATGGGTGGACCTCTGCGGGACGAGCGCAGCGAGTTCCTCAGCCATATGTGCATCAACATGTTGTTTAATTACGATACTAGACTCACTCAAATGTGAGTTATTCTCATTAGTTTAAAAACTACACGTTTCAGGTGAATGTCTTACTTAAACAGTCCAACAGTATATTGGTGAGTAGATGGCCACCCATGAGTTCCGCAACAATCCACTTATTTGTACTTGAAAAATAACTTATCATATAAAGTCAGAATTTGTAAGATTATCCACTGTTTGTCAATTCGCCTTTCAACAGGAATTAGTAATGTTACTTTACCAAACTAGTAATATATTGTGACAAGTTATTCAAGTACAGACGAGTGGATTGTTGCGGAACTTATGGGTGGATCCAGCCATCTATTCACCAATATGTTGTTTAGGTACAATACTAACCTGATTCACTCAGTTGTGAATTTTTCTCCTTAGTTTTAAAACTACACGTTTCAGGTGAGTGTCATTTGAACAGTTCAACAGTATATTGGTGAGTAGATGGCTGCGGAACTCGCTGCGCTCGTCCCGCAGAGGTCCACCCATAAGTTCCGCAATAGTCCACTTATTTGTACAGGATATTTTTTCATATAATGACACCCCACCTACAGCCTTTATCTTTACAGGTAGAAGAAAGTTGTAAATACAAAAGTTGTACAATTTTGGCTGAACTTTTAGAAACCATGGTCAGAAACAAAATTTGAATGTCAGAAATATGGTATTTTGCATTCTTCCAGCTTTTTTCAAATGGGATGCCCTATATTTCATTCTATATTCTTGAAGAGCACAATCCCCCGATATATATTTGATTGAGTCATCTCCCATATATCCAAAAATTGTGAAAATACTATCCTACTACTGATTTTGTGAACTATTCTTCCTGCAGGTGAAAGAGGTACTGGTTTCTCTGATAGTATTTTTGAAATTTCTAGAACCAAATATGTTGGAGACGGCTCAACCAAATATAGACAAACTATATAGTTTTGGAATCGGGAAATTGTGCTCTTTAAGAATATAGAACCAAATATAACGCATCCCGTTTGAAAAAAGCTGAAAGCATGCAATATTTCATATTTCTGACATTCAATTTTTATTTCTGACCACGGATTTTAAAAATTTAGCCAATACAGTACAACTTTTATATTTACACCTTTCATCTTCTTGTGAAGATAAAGGCTGTAGGTGGGGTGTCAATACATAAAAAAACACCCTGTACATTATTGAGACATAAGAAAAGTCTTGTATTATTAGGGTAGTGTGTAAGTCGAAACTTGGCATGTACTTAACTACACATAAAAGCAATTACTCTGTTGTTAGAAGGATAAAATTTCCTTACCTTTAACTGTGACTTTATGTTCTCCAGTCCCTGGATGCGTAAACAGATCCACTTGGATAGAAACTTCACCAACGCTTCCCTCTTGTCCGTCAACAGAATCTGAAACATTATTTCAATAAACAATCGTTGGCAAAAATCTTTACAAAATCGCTATGTGAAACTTGTTAGCTAAAAATGTACCTAAAGAAATTTGAAAGCGATAATTTTTACAATAGTTGGCAAAAGTGATAATGAATCAACTTTTCTATGTTGAAAACATTCTATAAGAACATTGTTAAGTATCTCTAAATAATCAAGCATGCCAAGTAAGTAGTACAGCAACACGGGTTTCACTACAAAAATCCGACCATATCCTCAATCTTGCACTCTCAACAGATGGCGTCATGACGTTTGACGGATGACAAAAAGCCATGATGGCGCATGTCAAGAACGGTGCATCCACCTTCGTGTCAAAAATGCAAGATTGAGGTTATGGTCGGATTTTTGTAGTGACACCCGTGTTGCTGTACTACTCTAATAATCGATAAATAATTTGGTTTTATAAACTAACAAATTATTGAATCGATTTTTTTTTCAAATACCTACCTCTACACAAAATAAAATTTATTGTAGTATATCTATATTTGCATATTAGCCTTATTCTAATGCTAGCAAAGTAGGTAAATCTAGGTTTTATTCTAAAATGTATAATGTGTGGAAAAGGTGTCAAAAACTAGAATGGCTTTGTTATGTTCGCTGGGTGGAATAAGATGTGCTGAAATATTATGGATACCCTGAAGAATAATATAGCATTTTTTTAAAATAAACTCTATTGTCTATTTAATGTTCAGGATTTATCTATGGGCCTTCAATATTCTTCAGAATAACCAATCAAAAATAAGTAACTAGCAAAAAATCGTATATAAATACAGCTTGCAGCCTTGTCATGTAAACGAACAAGTGACTTAACGCTGAACAGCATCAGAATTTCTAACCTGGCCATTTATCTCTTGGCGGTTTTTTCGCCTTAAGGGGCTCTTCGAGGGCTTCAAGCCCCGCTTCGGGCTCCTCGCGATCTATCGATATTTGTCGTTGCATCATTGTTTCTTTATTGTTTAGCGGCACTTTTGAAAAGAACAAAGTTTTTGGTGTGGAAAAGGTGTTTTTGTGCAAAAAAATAGAAATATCAGTTGTTAATATGTTGGTGCGATAATAGAAATTTGTTGTACAAATATTTTTTGGATACACCAAAAGCATGTTAACAACTATCAAAGTTAGAGGGACTCACAAAGAATACATTTTTCTTAAAGTTAGGAACTTACCTTCATTGATTTGCGTTGTTACGAAGGTTTTTATAAGCGTATCTGTTGTTTGTGTGTATAATGATAAGGCGTATCGCAAACTCTGCAACTCAGAACTTTTGTCGAGGAAGGCTTTCTTTAATCCGTTGCCACCTAAAAAGAAAAGTTTTGAAAGAGAAATTCTCCAAGCGTATATAATTGAAGTAAATATTTTGTTGAATGAATCCAGTTTATTTGAAAGAATATCAGTTGGTCTGAAAATGTATTTACCTGCGTGGAAATATTGCTTAATAGTATCTAAGGCCACATCTAAGACAGCGCACTGCTTCGGCGACAGATTTTTCTCCACCTCTTTACTGATATCCATTACACCGCTTAGCGCATTTTTCACGTCCTGTTTACCAGTCATATGATTCTTAAACAACCTAGACATATCTTCTATTTTGGTATTTGCCGCCAAATTTTTAGCGTTATCCGTTATACTCTTGAACACCATCTACAAATAATAACAAGTTTGTATTATGAATAAAAACATTATCACTATGACTAACCGTTTTATCAGTCATCGGAGGTAACACTACAGTCTTTTCTAATATTCTCATAACTATCCTCCATAGTTCCTTAAGCAGTCTTTTAAGTACAGTTTTCTCGCAGGATTGTGCGTATAGTGACAGCGAACCGTCCAATAAGTCCATCAGAGGTCTGAGGACTTCGTCAGCTTCAACGGCCACTTGTTGCCTTTGAGCTGGTTGGTTCAGGGTTCCTGGCTGACCTCCTCCTTTGATAGCAAGAAGAAGGTCACCAAGTTCCTTAACACTTTGGGTTATCCTTGGCTCCAAACTGAGAAATAAATTGGATTTGAATTGGTTGAAAATTAAATTGGATTTTTACCTTGAAGCAAATTGATGAGCTAGCTCGTCCAGGCTACCGTTTAGCGTTTGTTGCAATTCTTTTAAAATATTTGCAGCATCTTCTTCTAGTTTTTCACCGCCCATTGATTCAAACATTTTCTCTAATTGGACCCTTAGCTGTTGGATGTTATTCATTAATATACATGCCTGAAAAAAACAGAACAATTTGGAATGATATACCTATGTGAGACCCCAAATTCAGAAACTTGGCAAGATGTTAAATTGGCGAGCGGTGATTTTAGTTTCTGAGTGGAGACACAGTTTAAAGTGGGTCCTATTTGCATGTAGAGAGTAAAACACAGAAATATTGTGGTCAATTAAAAAACAGGCGTCGGTAATAAATAATCTTACAATAAAATTATTATTCTTATACTCTTGCCTTCACAATTTCTGGCTGAACATAAAAAACTCTACTTACATTTAACAACATTATATAACTGCTGGCCACACCTAATTACATGAAAATCTTATTGATCGACGGAATTTACTATATTTATGAAAAATTAATAAAAAACTCGAATATTTTCGCGCTGTTATTTCATGCCGTGCTTCTTCTCTCGGTTAATTCGAAAACTCTTTCACGCCGTAGTTCTGACTTTCTGGACACAGGTGTCTCAACTTTGATTACTCAACCGACACTGGTCCTTCACGCCGTAGTGCTGCCGGTTTACTCGCTCTTTCTTGAACATTCTTTTCTCGAACACTGATTTTCTCCTGCCAAAGTTGCCTTTTTATATCATTGGTCCCTCCATTGTCTTAAATTTCTTTATTTTTTCTGACCTCAATTTTTCGTGGTTGAATCATTCGATCAATTAATGTATTTGGTCCCCTTTTAATTAATTATCAAGGGCGTCGCTAAGTGGTTTGTTAAGTGGGTATCATCATATAGGCTCGTGCATGATTTATTGATCCTTTTAGAAAATTTTCGGCTCCTTTGGAATGTTAATTGTTGAAAGCACTTAAAAAAAACGGTCCATGAACTTTTGCTGTATTCACATTCCAATGTATTAGTCAATATAGGGTATCGGCTTTCAATAATTTCTGGATATCGATGTTCAGATAATTTTTAATTGAAGTTTCTGGTTGTGCTGTCTAAGTAATGATCTCTCCTGGGATGGTTTCTTGATTAATTTTCGGTAGTTGGATCCTAGGCCTTTAGTTGTTTAGAATAATCAGAACTTTTAATTGTTTTCTTGGTGGTTTATTTCCGCGTCACTACACCTATATAAATATGATGATGGATACGAGAGGAAAAACAGAATTTGAGATTATCTATGCTTCAATGAAGTCCTTTATATAAATATGAATTCTAAATGGAATTTCTACTATAGGTTTTGATGGGCTCGCGTATAACTCCTGCCCTTCGGGCTCGTATAACTCCGGCCCTTCGGGCTTGCGTATAACTCCGGCCCTTCAGGCTCGTATAACTCCGGCCGTTCGGGCTCGCATATCCGGTCCTTCGGGATCGTATTACTGAGTATCCCAGATTCACAGATTTTTGTCGTGGAGCCGCGGGATTGATCGAAATAATATTGATCACCCTGTATCTTCACACAGTGGTGGAATTGTTTTCGATTACCGGCTATCGTGAAAGATTTCCTACAAGAGCCAGTAATAATAAAATGATGGTTGTTTGGTAGGTCCTTGTTATTCTTGATTAATTTTCGGTAGTTGGATCCTAGGTCATTAGTTGTTTAGAATAATCAGAACTTTTAATTGTTCTCTTGGTGGTTTATTTCCGCGTCACTACACCTATATAAATATGATGATGGATACGAGAGGAAAAACAGAATTTGAGATTATCTATGCTTCAATAAAGTCCTTTTTAAAAATATGAATTCTAAATGGAATTTCTACTATAGGTTTTGATGGGCTCGCGTATACCTCCGGCCCTTCGGGCTTGCGTATAGCTCCGGCCCTTCGGGCTTGCGTATAGCTCCGGCCCTTCAGGCTCGTATAACTCCAACCCTTCGGGCTCGCGTATCCGGTCCTTCGGGCTCGCATAAAACTCCGGCCCTTCGGGCTCGCATAAAACTCCGGCCCTTCGGGCTCGTATTACTGAGTATCCCAGATTCACAGATTTTTGTCGTGGAGCCGCGGGATTGATTGAAATAATATTGATCACCCTGTATCTTTACACAGTGGTGGAATTGTTTTCGATTACCGGCTATCGTGAAAGATGTCCTACAAGAGCCGGGAATAATAAAATATTGATCACTCTGTATCTTTATACAGTGGTTAATTTCTATTGAGGGTAGTAGTTTTAGTTACGGCCCTGTTACCAGAAATTAGTACCTACCACATACAAATCATAAAGAAAAACGCTTAAGCCTCAAAGCCAACGATTATAGACTTACTATTCTTTCTTCCTTTAGATGTTCAGGAAATTCTTTCTTGACAATATCAGCATAAGCAATAAGCACTTTCAAGATGGTTTTTGCGAATCTTTTCATGTACCGCTTCCATATTTCCGGATCTGGACACTCCAGCTTGGAAACTACATCAAAACATTGAGTCAGCTGCGTGAACACGTCTACGACTGAATTGGAAAACAACGCGTGTTCGCTACTTTTTTGGAACTAAAACGCAACAAAACTTGTATTAAGTGGTATTAATTCAAAATCCATCAAACCTCACCCCATCCTTTTTGTCTCTTGTAAAGGCACCATGAAGATATTCCAATGAAACATCATCATTTTCGTTCAACCATTGCATCACGAATGGTTCAAACCATGCTGGATACTCTGGTACAGCTCCTTTATATGGAGGCACATCCTTAACGTAACTAGTATACAACCATTTTACTTTAAAATGAAGATTCATATATGCAGATGATTTGCATAATCGATGCGCCTCGTGTTCTTCCAACGCATATTTCATGTCCACAGCGAACAATGACCACATAGTTGCAGCTGACAATTGTCCAATGTTGAGCTCTTGAGGAAATTGATTCAGTACTGGCCCATAACTGTTTTTATCTTCTTCTATAACAGAAACTATAAGAGCGATTAGTTTGTGCCAAAAATCTACGCTATCTAATCTGGGTCCGTGATCATCTGGATCTCTTTTGGGTTCACTGGGATCCGTTTGGAATTCTCTGCTGTACAATTCGTATGTATTTTCAAAAAGGAATTGGTAAGTTGACCTAAAAATAATTATTAATGTAAAAACTGTTTTATTAGAGAAAAATATTGTTTACCTTAAACAGGCCTTTACGCAGTCTTTAACAACAGTACTGGCCCTAGGCGGGCTGGAAAGTTCTTGAACTTTCATCCGGAAGAAGGTGATGCTGGTGAGTAAATCTACAGTGGATTTGAGATCCAACAGTTTGTCGGGACTCGAGGCAGGGAAATTATTGCGGTACATTGAGAGGTCTATCCTTAAGGAATTGTGCAGTTGATCCAGGAGTTTGACGAACTTTTCTTTCTGAAGAGAACAAAATGATGATTATATATACAAATTACAAAAAGGAATTAGGGAAAATATAACAAGTGATAATTAAAATCAAATGAATCGGTTGGAAGAGTTTTGGGAAAAATTAGAATAATTTTTTTATAGGAGACCGCTGCCGGAAATTTTACTTTAAATAGAAAAAAATTTCATTAAAAATCTCTGCCCCTCAGTGTAAACGACCCGATTATTATGCAAATCTTATTCGTTTGATTGTTGAAATTTTGGCGCCCGAGCAGGGACCGGTTTATGCTTCCGCTAGTACAAGTTTAGCCGTATCCAAACCAAACCCATTGACCGTGTGCAGCGACTACTGCCCATAAGGCCGTTCTTCTGAATTTGTGTGAGCATTCGCAGTTCAAATAAGCCGTAATACCTTGCTTTTCGACTAAACCGAGACTGCTGATTGCATTTACCGTTCCCACAAATACGCCAGCCCAATAGTTTCCAAATTATTGAACCTTTAGTGAGTTTTGAGAAGCAAGATGCCTCGAGATACCGCAAACGATTATGCAAAACCACCAGTTACAACCGCGTCTGTTCCCACATTAACCGAAGTTTCCAACTGCTTAACAGCCACTAATATAGTAAACACCCCAACGACCATGGGCATTAACCTGTTCGATCCTGGCACTAGTGACGTACGAGTGAGGTGGGTATATCAATTGAGGAAAGATGATCTACTTATTGAACTAGGCAAGTTCAGCCTAGTATAGATATTTTCAGGAAAAGGCTGATTAAGCTTTTACGGAAAAGTCACACCAACACGGACCAATTAGGCTTTTGTTTTCCCATCCCCCACAACCATTCCTAGTAACCTAGCCACCCTGACTTCCACTCAAAAAATTGATACTTCGTCCTCATCAATGAGCATAATGGCCACCACATCAATCACAATGTCCGGCATTGCTATTCCTATACCCACCCGAACTATCAGTTAACTCCTTAACTGCTTCCCAGAGACCAACACCTATGAAAGGCACCAAGTTTTAGGACTTGGATGGGCTGGCCTTTCCCCTGGGTACTCGTGTTAGCCGGGTCGCTCAGCAACGTTTGACGAGTCACCGATTCGCACTCACTTTTGTGAAAATGCTACCACATGTGGGTTAATACATACTTGTGCCTTTCAACCACGAAACCTGGAATCAGCAACAGAGGCATATATTTTTACCGGAATCGGAATGTGCGTTCCTAGTTCCCAGACAAAGTGCGGATTCGGGGTCTTCCCCTACTAGCTTTCGGAATACCCCAGTCATCCGTTGCCCAGAAATCTGGGGTCCTTCGCCCATGCCAACTAGTGAGACAATGGGTATTACTCGGGTTGTACCCGAACAACCCCGACGTAACTCTAGCTATGACAGACCGATGCCTACACAGAATCCATCCGTCAACCGCAACCTCGGATCTACTGCCAATGTTTGCTGGAGTTGTGGGGAGTTAGGACATTTTCGGACGGAATTCCGAGGAGTGGCTAAACTTTTCTGTTCAAAATGTGGGAAAAAAGGCGTCATGACACGAGATTGCTGCCTCTGTTCGGAAGACTAGGCTAGAGCTGTCCCGCTTCGAGATCGGAGCAGCACCGCAGAATCTCCACCTCGAATCTGACACCTACACGAGCTTTGATTGCCGTCCTCATATTTTAATTTACTTGTACGACACACCGTTATCAGCTCTCGTAGATAGCAAAGCTGCGAATTCTTACATAGGAGATTTTGCGGCAGAAATTTGTCGAGAAAAAGGAGCTCTCGAAGGGCCACCGCTCGTCAGAAGTGCGAAAGCAAACCGCTAGACACTCCCAATATGTGCAGCCCGATAGGCCAGATCCGACACCTTACTTAGAGTTGACGATAAGTGGGGCACGGCGCCTGCAAGAATTTCTAGAGTATGAACTACCAAAGTTCGGAAAAATCCAGGGAATCACTCCACTAATTCAATACTTTATAAAACTGCTTAACCCGAGACCCATTAAACAGAGATCCGGTACGCAAAATCCGAAAATGCAGGAAATAATTATGAGTGAGGTAGAAAAGATGCTAGAAGAGGGAATAATTGAGCCTTCCTCCAGTCCATGGAGCTCACCAGTGGTCATTGTCCGCAAAAAAGATGGCAGGTATCGGTTCTGTATTGACTTTCAGAAAGTCAATACCATGAGTTATGCCATTTGGATTACATTCTGCACCGGCTACTTTTCAAAGATTAATGTTGTGTGTTTCCCTTTCGAGAATCATAAGGGAAGTCGAGCTTTTATTATCACAATTACCACCTCTTTCAAGCCGGAATTAGTATTCCATTCCTGTCAGAATTTCCCTGAACTGATAACCCCTTTAGAAACTGGCAGCCTGAAGGACCCATTCAACAGATTGAACAACCCCGACTCCCGACGTAACTCCAGCTATGAAAGACCGATGCCTACCCAGAATCTAGCCGTCAACCGCAACCCCGGACTTACTGCCAGTGTTTGCTGGAGATGTGGGGGGTTAGGACATTTCCGGACGGAATGCCGAGGAGTGGCTAAACTTTTATGTTCAAAATGCGGGAAATAAGGCGTCATCCATTCGGAAAGCTAGGCCGGCGCGGACCCGCTCCGAGGTCGGAGCAGCACCGCAGAATCCCCATCTCGAATCTCACGCTTATACGAACTCTACCTGATTCACTTGTACGACGCACCGTTATCAGCTCTCGCGGAGCTGTGAATTCCTACATAGGAGATTTTAACGCAGAAACTTGTCGAGAAAAAGGCACTCTCGGAGTGCCACCGCCCGCCAGTGGTGTGAAAGTGGCCAACGGTAGCGTAATCAAGATAACCAAAGCATACCGAATTCCGCTGACATTTGATAGCGTTACGCTAACTGAAGAATTTAGTTACTTTCTGCACTTTATTTCTGGAGTAGTTTTGGGAATGGACATTTTAGGACAACACTTATTTCATTTAGATCTGGTATATTTAGACCGCAAACCGCTAGACACTCCAAATTAGTGCAGCCCGATAGGCTAGATCGATCTGACACCTAACTTAGAGTTGACGGGAAGTGAGGCACGGCGCCTGCAAGAATTTCTTGAGCATGAACAAAGTTCAGAAAAATCCAGAGAACCACTCCATTAGTTCAACACTCTATAAAACTGCTCAACCCGGAATCCATTAAACAGAGATACCGTTCGCAAATTACGAAGACGCAGGAAATAATTATCAATGAGGCAGAAAAGATGCTAGAAGGGGGAATAATTGAGCCTTCCTCCAGTCCGTGGAGCTCACCAGTGGTGAAAAAGATGGCAAGCATCGGTTCTGTATTGGGTTTCAGAAAGTCAATACCATTTTCAGAAAGGATTCATACCCCTTGCCCTACATCAATCCCATCCTGGATAACCTTTGTCATTTGTTTCATTTCAAGCAACGATCTCAAATAGAGCTTCTAGCAAGTTCCGCTGGCCGACGATGGCATATAGGTCTTGGCTTATTTCAATTTCGAAGTATGCCATTTGGATTACATTTTGCACCGGCTACTTTTCAAAGATTAATGTATCATATTATTGGACCCAAATTTACTTGTCCCAATTGTTCATCTATCCTTCTTGATCTTTTAAATTGAAATGGCCAAAGATGTTCTATAAAAAGTATTACCTATCAAGTGAAGCAGATGGAATATTAAATCTCGGTTTCGAGAATTTAAATGGCTGAAGTGCTGTAAAAGGTCGGAAAAATCCCAAGAAAACAAAACCATACTATAAAACTTTTCATATTATCAAATTTTATGAGTTCGTTTTCGTGAAGTTTCAAAATAGACGTCCATCCTCTCCGACTTTAGCCAATCAATATTCGCCTCTGAACTTTAGATGGGATTTAACGATACGTGCAGTTACCCCGGAATAAAATTATTTTCACCGATTTGTGCTGTATCGCTAGGGTTATAAACTATTAATTCGAATATCCGGAAAGTGTGAAGACCGATCTGAAGGAAAAGGGATATTTCAAGTTTACTAAATCATTGGAAAGTTGTTTTAAATGTTAATACTTAGATGCTGGGTTTAGTAGTTGATTGACAGTGATGCTACTAAAGAAAAAATCAAAAGTTTAAATAAAAGATGTGAATCTTACTCCAAAATTAGAAGCAGCAAAACGGTCGCTTGCTGACACAGCCGTTGATGCAGTCGTGTGCGCGTAGTAAGCATTGATGTTCGCCAGGAGTGTGCTCATCACTGCTGGTACTCCAGGACAAAGGTACTTCGTAGAAAGGCAGTGAAAATGTCTGAAAATCAATAATAAATACATTTCCATAATCATAGTTGAAAAGAAAATTAGAAACGATTATTCCATGGTGTGTGCTGTAATAGTAATCAAACGATTTAATTTAGTGAAGGTAAGGAGAAATTGTACAGACTGCTACAAACTTATTATATCGAAGAAGCGTCATGTTACTATCTGGAGCAAAAATCTAATTGAAAAATGCATTTAAATCGAAAAGAATCTCATATGGCTTGAAATTTATTTTCACTCCTGAATATATCCGATACTGCCTTGAAGGATGTTTGAGACAGTTTGATGGGATGTAACAGCTTACGACGAAGGCTGCAAAATACATTTCATACGAAATTGATTACGAATTTAAAGTTTGCAATAACAACATGGATCGGATATAAATTTTCCTCATAACAAGATAATTATTGCACCTTTAATGAAACTGAAACAATTTAATTTTTAAAACGTTTAGCATACCATAGGGCTTTGACTGGGTGAAAGTTAAGCGAAATTCCATCTATTCAGGATTTACGCTTGTTCCCCGGTATTAAACGATAGGCAGGAATGCATCGGATTCCTTCCTTTCTGGTATTTCCAGGCAATTGCGGAGCTCGGATGATTTTACTCCTTCCGGTAAAAAATTCAACACAATTTTATAAGGAGGGAAAGTACAAAGGAATACGTTTTACTATTTTCAATTTTAATTTTTTCAGATTTTTAGTTGGGCATGGAATGTTTAATAAACATATGTATGAGCTTAAGTTATGCGAGAACACGCGATGCTTTTGTGATAACCAATCTAATGTCTTTCTCTAACTTCTGATTCTGAAATAATTATTTTTAACTTGATGACCTGATTAATTAGTGGTTTTGTGTTCCTAACATAACCGTATTTAAATTATTGTAATTTGTAAAAAATTAAAACAATTCTAGTGTGTTTTTATCAATTACCTTTTAATCAACGTGTTGTTTCATTGATCAAGTGAGCACAAAGTATAAAAAAACACGAAACTCGTTTTCCTGCAGGGTTTTGCTTCTAAAACGGTCTCTTTTTCTGGCAGTAGTTGAGCAGGCAAGTCGATTTTAATTATTGTAATTTTTTCCTTCAGATTTCTAGATTTTCCCTTTATATTTAGCAATTTATTTTACCATCAGTGTATACTATCATATCACTGTTGAGTTTTTACCTGATAAATCTTATCTTATCTACTTTTTTAATATAAATATTATATTTTAATTTTTTATCTAATTGTGTGCCTCCATTTTGTGATTGGTGGTCCCACGTTTTTTTTTTTGAGGTGAGTCAATTCAGAGTTTTGGGCTAATAAATAGGTACTGCTGCTCTGGTTTTCGGTATCAATTGTACGTGTGAGATTATTGGACCATTTGCTCTAAATAGAGTCGGTGCATTCACGTTTAATCTTTAAAAATAGAAAACCAGATAGGTCAAAAATTCATTTAAAAAGTTTTAATTAAAACATCTCAAGAATTTTGTTAGTTCTTGGATTTGATTGATTTCACCCTCAGGTTTATCTTGTAGTACCTATAGTAGGTATCTTAACTTAAAAGTAAAATTTGTCTATTTGGGGAAAATCTAGAGATTAATTTTTTTTATTTTTTTTTATCTGAATATTTGATTGTTTTTTTTTTAGATTAAAATATTTTCCCAATTTGCAATAGTAACTGATACTTACTTGATTCTGTTGAAAGGGAGTGTCTGCGCAGCAATAGTTTTATAATAAACTAATTCCAATTTAAATCTTCTTTGCAAGACATTAGCTTTTTATCAGAATTCAGGGATTTAATATTCCAAACCTTGGTGAACCTGATACTGCCTTATTCTTTTCTGGGTACCTACTCGACAGAAAGATCACTATTTGGAGAATGGATCAGCTGGAGTGACGTCACATCAGCAATCTATCCTCTTTCCTGGATACAGGAAACAACACGGAGAGATCCAGTTCACGGAAGTGAAACCCCAACATCTATTGAAGAGCTCCGGATTGAAAAGGTACATATTGTATCAGATTCACCAGAACAACCAAACTGTTAACCGTTAAATTTTAAAGAAAAGTAAAATTGTTACTACATTGTAAACAAATATAAAATAAAATTATTGTTTGTTGGATTTTGAGTGTTTTCATTTGCACATAAAGAGGCTACAAATATCTTTATTTTTAAATTCCACGACCCTATAGATTCTCTTGTCTTAAAACAAATAATTGAATTTATTTTTATCATATATTTGAAAGATAGTTAGTTAGTATCGTTTCCTATGTTTTTGTTTTGTTTTTATATGTTACATCCTTCCTAAGTGTTTATCCTTCGTTGCTGGATTCCTCTTTTTTTTTCTCTCTTCTCCACTTGTTCTGTAAATATGGAGGTAAGACACGATCTTCCCCATTAAAAATTGAAAATTTCAAATTGAAAAATGGTTCAAGAACAATTCTATGCAGGGTTTTCCATTGTCTAGCTAGACAACTTCCCGTCGGCGATTTGATAACCAAACTCAGTCTGAAAACTCAAAATTGCACATCATAAAAATTGAAGTACAAGAAAGCCAGGTACGTATCGGTTTAATAAATCACGATGAGACAAAAAAGGGTAAACATTCCTTTTTCACTCCTCATAATTTATGCATTCTACGTCCAAAGTGCGGCATCGTATGCCAATTGGTGCATAACGTCGCCGTTATTATAAAACTTTTTTCCTAGCTGTGCGAGAATTTTCGCTTACCATTTTATTATAATAAATTAGAAACAGTGCAAACGGAATTAATTTTAATTTATGTCATGCGGCTTTTCAGATTTACTGCCGCTGACAATGCTGACATAATAAACATTTTAGCAAAACAAGATTTTTTGTATGTTCTACTTTGGCTTTCAGGTCTTAGGCATTCAGCTGCTTTTATAACAAAAATTCTTGTTGAGCCACCTACTGAAATTAATTCATGATATTTGGATAATAATTTGTATCATTAGTATCTGGGTTTTCCAAAAACTAATTGGCATCAAAAATAGTAAGATTGGTACTTGCAAATGGTCATAGAGAATCATCGTGGAAGTCGAAATAAATTAACGAAGGCAGTAGAGAACACATTTCAATAAAAGCGTAACCTAATTTACCAATAGGGCTTTTCAATAAATTTTTGCTGACAAGTACCATAGTTGAACCAGTTGGGCAATATTTTCTATTTTACTGCGTTTTGCCAACACAAAATAAGCAAAACATATAAATATCGGCAATTTTTCCACAACATTTATTATTTATCGGGTGTGTTTCAAAATAAATAAAAACAATGTCCACAGCTGAATAAACAAAATAAAACTCTGGTAAAATAATTTGAAACAGAATCAGTGAAAAAAACTGAAAAATTTAAATTGAATGAAATATTTTAATTTCAATTAGGTGAATCTCGGATATGTAAAGAGAAGTTCTGATTTAGAAGCAATAAAATAAAAATAATTAAAATTGGCATTGGAACAAATTATTTAACATATTGAAGTTCAAAATTGAAATAAAGAATTGTCAGTCTTATGATATCGCGAGGGTCCTGAACCTGAAGATGAACCTATATATTAAGCAACGGAAAGATATTGAAAGCAAGGCTAAAGTAATTAAACTGTAACGTCAAATCGCAGTTTCATAAAAAAAAACATTATTTATGGCCCACAAGAGTCCGGCATTCTATGGTGCATGTGCCACACTATTAAGATATTCATTGACTTAGGAAATTAAATCTTTGGTTGAATAAATAACTATATTTCCTAGAAATAGCCTGAGAGGATTTTAGGTCAAGGTATCGAAATAACGCGATTTCATGGTAAGAATAAAACGTATATAAACGATCAGGTAGAGAGAACATCAATCAGTCCAGATCAGTCGAAGATAGTCTAGAGTGGAAAGGTAAAACGACAATCAGATAAAATTCGCTAAGAGTTTGTTTTGTCTTCAATGCATCCGACATCAATTCAAATTCACACTTCAAACCAAATCTTGTACATGAAAAATTTGAAAAAGTGAAGAAGTCGTGAAAGAAAGAAAATTAAATTTGTTTTCTACATTATATGCGAGTTTTAAGCAGTGGCGGCGCTTGGATGCACCCTTTGGCCCCTAAGGACATATCACAATTAGGCCTCCCTGGATTTTATTCATGGCAAATTGTTCAACTTAAAGAGCCAATCAGAAACTGCGGAAGAAGAAATTTTGATTAATATCAACTTGTAGCGCCCGCCCTAGTATCACTATTCAAGATATTGATTGTTGGCGAGAGGTTTGTAATTTGTTACAGATTTTTAGAGTGGCTACAGTGAGTAAAGGTGCTATGCGGGTTCTGGCGCAATTTCAGCCATTTTTCCATGTGCGCTCCCAGCACCAGCTGACCAGCTAGCGCGACCGATGAAAGACACGGGAACTGGAAAGGGAGCGAGGCTTAGCGGCAACGACTATTAGCGGACTGGACGGATGAACAAACATTGCAAAATCGGACCTTAGATTTTCTTGAGGAGATTTACATGGGAAAATTGATGAAATTGCGCCAGAACCGGCATAGCACCTTTACTACAGTGGTGGTGGTAGTGGTCAAGATTCGCTCTTCGTATTATATATTATATACAATATTCAATTTTCTTCCTAGGGGTGTCTTTACTTGTCGTCGCGACGCGTAAATTATTTTACTACCGATCCTGAATTTAATGTTCGATTTCTGATAACTACCTGACTGTTTTGTTCACATCGAAAATTATTAATTTGCCGGTTGGAACTTCACTGGTTTTCCTGATTTAAGAATGTTCTCACATCTTCGGTAACTGACTTATTACTCGACTTTCAACTCAAGCTTCTAACTGACCGTTCTTACTGTCTTACTGACTTATTGACTTTTTCTTCCTGCCTCTTAACAGCATGGATATGCCCTTTTTATACGCGATTTTTGCGTCATTTTTGTACCACGCTTTTAGAAATAATTTGCTTTGTGAATCTAAAAGTCGACAAAATTTGCAGGTGTTCGTT